GAAAAATTAACATACTCTGATAGTAAAGGATATAGAAAATGAACATACTCTGATAGTAAAAGATAATGAAAATGGACATACTGTGGTAGTAATGGTTGTAGTCTAACAGGAGAAGCTGTAGGTAAAAGATGTTGTAGAGCTATACGACCAGGGTCAGCAAGTTTACTGTTTATTATATCTACAACTGACTTCCCTGGGAACAATCTGTTTATTATAGTCACTATATCTTCATTGGTAGGGATCTAATAACATTCCCAGGATTAAATCTTGTTTTGCACCATTCACATCCTGTTAAATAAATTTCATTTTAAAGTTAAGTCTATTTGAGGCCAATATCAGAATGTGAGGTTTTAAAATTACCCGCCTACCAACCATAAAATATGATTTGTCTCAACAATTGAAAATGTTTTTTAATAAAATTAAAGGCATACTTCAGATTTGATGGCATTTAGCATCATCATTTATATCAGATTGATAAGAAAGGTACCTCTATCATGTATTTTGATCTGGCTCGTGATATGTAATATCCCCCAACACTGGGGTTATACTGTATAGCTAGAGACATCTTGGCCAGGGATTCCTGAAAGAATGAGTTAAAGGGGTTGAGACATGAAACTATTCACTTATTTTTTACTAAAGTTAATATGAAATTTAAATCCTCAAACTTGGCAAATAAAATGATATATTCATCAGTGGTATCATAACTATACAACAGAATCCATGTATAATAAAAATTTAAGCATTAGATTTATTGATAATTACTTACTTTTATAGATTAATGGATTATACAGGGATTAAACTTTGCAAGGTTTGACATTTTTGAAAGGTTTTCTTTGTATTATGTTGATATAAAATTGAAACAATCAATGTCTATATATATTAATAAGGCCATCAAATAAAGATAACAAACTTACAGAATAGTTTTTCTCTTGGTAAGCAGTGTAGGCAAATTCAGCATGTATAACAGAGATTCTAGTCTTAATATAAACATCACTGGGGTCTAACTCTAGAGCTTGGTGATAATCTTGGAGAGCAAAGTTTAACTCGTCTTGTTTTAGAAAACAATCTGCAAAAATAAGAAAAAGATCAGGATAATGTAAAGAGAATGAGAAGATAAAATCAGTAATATAATTATTAATATAACTTATTACTGTAAGGTTAACAACTTAGATACAATAGTCACATCTCTTAAATGATCGATTTCAGGTGAGAGGTCAGAAGGTCAGAATTAGAATTCATGGCCAACATTGTCCAAATATCACAATTCCAATTCTAGGGAGCCAAGGTGGCTCAGTGAGTTAAACGCTCATGCCACTGTCCTGACAAAAATTATTTATCCCTGTACATGTTCATTTAAACGAAAACAAAGTTCCTTCATTGCACACTAAATGTAATTGCTGTCCTCATCAAGTCAAACAGGTGCAGAAAAGAAGGACATACAACTCAATTTCATTCAAACCAACTCATGAATCCCCATAATTTCAAATGAATGATATGACCCTACCTCCTCTGTTGATATATAACCCCTTCTCTCTTTTCTCTCCTTTAATAGCTTTATTTAATAATATAACTGATTCATCATAGTATCCCTTGTTAAAACATTCTACAGCAAAATCATTATAGGTCAATAATAACTGTCTCTGAGAATCAGAATAAACAGGATCTTCTTCATTATGGTCACATTTATCTAATGCCAGTAGAAAATCATCTATAGCTGAGTTAAAATCTCCTAACTTTCGATGTAAAGCACCTCTAGAAATATATAAATAAATAAAGAAATTATGACTTAATACAAGGTTAAAGATCTACTAGTATAAGAATTCTAAATATTTCCCTTTTCATCTGAGTTTTGTTTTTTCAAAGAAATCTTGACAGTTTAATGGAAAATTACATATAAACTATGAACAATTAAATTATGAAATATCTAGTCAAAAAAAGACTTTCATAAATGTAACAATTTCTCACCGTAACACATGATATGAACTAATAGAAGGATTAGTTTCTATAGCGATAGATATTTTCTGTAAGGCTTCACGATGTTTCCCCATTATATTTAACTGCATGGCTTGTTTTTTATTGTCTTCCCCTGTTAGTTTTAGGTTGGACATCATCTCTACGGCTACATCGTGATTCTCATCAATAAATAGAGCATCTTTAACATCATAATAACACAGTGTCGTCTGAAATTTATAGTTAGAAATATTAATATAGAACCTGTACATGTTGTTACTCAGATATTTTTCAGTCTGCTCTCAAATCCCAGGAATGGTAACTCAATGCAGTTTGCAAGAGTGAAATTTGTCACAACAGTAACACTATGGTTTGTTTTTCAAACTTTGAGGGTATTTAGTTTGCACACAGTTATAAAAGTTTGACATCCATCAATCTGTCCTGTTATTACATGTAACCTGGAAACCTGTCAGAACAGTGCCTCGACTTCATATTTTCCTATTTCCTGACCTCTGTTTATGGTCCCATTGAAATGGTTTAATGTTTTTCCAGCCCCTCAAACCTGCAACATGAAACAAAGCACAAGTTGAGGGTACTATTTCAACTTATGCTTTGTTTCAGTCCTAGACCTTGACAAACACCAGATTTATTGCATTTGACCAACATGTGATAACAAACTACCAAAATGACCTACATTTCTGAACATTTCATGCAAGCGAGCTCTCATGATGAGCAAATCAGCGTTATTTTTTTCTGTTTCTAGACGTTTGTTCACCAGGGCTAGACATTCACCATGTCTCTGTAGAGCAGCTAGACATGATATACTGTAAATAGATGAAATAGATTATAAATCAAAACATAAACCGTTGAACTTGTTGATAAACCAAGTTCAGAATTATTTGTTGTAGGAGAATTGAGAGTCATATTAATGTAGACAGATAATGTCTATACTATCAAAACACGAGCAAGAGCATTAGGTAATGAACATAATGTAGGTCTTACAAACATCATGAATAATTAAATGGGGGAGAGGAGAGTAGGGGCCACAGAATTGTCAAGGGGAGGGAGGGGGAGCTCACAAACTTTTCTTTCCCAATGCCACTGGCTAAATGTGCAATAACAGTTTTGATTAATTATTCTTAGAGTAGACTAAGTTGTTAAAAATAATATAAAGCTCACCTTCTGATATGGTAGCCAGTGTTTTCAGGTTTCATTTCTGCTGCTCGTGAAAATAATTCTAAAGATTCAGGATACAGTCTTTGATCAAACAACATTTGGCCTAAGAAAAAATACAGAAAGGCGAGACGCGAGTAATAATTGTCATTTCTGGGGGCCATTAAACACGCCTTTTTATAATTCAAGATGGCTGACTGAATGTCTGATAGCTGGATGAAGTTTTCAGCACGTTCCATATAAAACATATGATCTCCAGGTTGAAGATTGATGGCTTTATTAAGAGATCTTATCGAAGCTTCGTATTCTCCTTTTTTTTTCAACTCTATGGCACGTTCATAACTGAAAATATAAATTGATATGTATAAAATATAAGATAGGGTTTTAGCTGAAATTAGTTTTTGGGAGAGGTTATTATGTTTGGTCCTTTTGATGGAGAATCGTGCCAATACCAGCTAAAATAAAGTTTTGTACTTTTTTCTATCATTTTGAGTGAATTTGAATGAAAACTTACTGTTCCACAGCTTTATTGACTAAAATTTCATCAAAGGTAGGACTGGGTGATCGAGGCCCAGGCCAATCTTCAGTATTAAAGATACTATTTCCACTTCTAGCTTTGGCAGCTTCTAGAGTCTCCTCATCTACTGCTGTTCTAAATACGTTCTTGTCTTCTGTCTACAATATAATCCATGTCATTTCATAATAGCACTGACATCATACAAGCTTCAACAGTTTCTATAAGTTACCTATTCTAACTATCTGATTCATACTATTTCTACACCCTTAGCCACTATTTGCAGATATACAGTTCTGGCTTATGATAAATTTTACCAAATTTTACTTTAATTCATAATGTTCTCAATTTTTTTTTGAAAAATATTATCAAAAACCTGTTTTTTTTTTTATAAAAATCCATAAAAAATAGAATTGTAGCTTCTATTTGATTATAGACATAGACTTAAAATGATACCAAAGATAAAAGTTTGGATCTTCATATATCCCTGATTTTCAAACAATGTATATTGAATTACTTGTCTGAGAATTAAGCTTATATCTATTGGTATCGATAACACTTTTCAAAAGTAACATTCATCGTAAGCTTGTCTAGGATTAAATCATAACATATTGGAGGAAGACATTACATAAAAGAAAAATATATCCAACCCTTGTTGCCCCCATTACAGATTTATTACACATAATACATTTCACTGTCCTGCTTCATAAAGTTATGGTTTTATTTCAACACGTAAACAGCATATAAACATACACATCACTACATAGATATGTCTTGGATGCCACTTTCAAAAAATACATAAATAAATACATTCCACAGTACAACAAATATAAACTGACAAAATAGAGATAAAAGTAACTTGTCAATAAATGTTTACAATTTCATATTATAAAATAAACAAAGATTTTGTAATATAACACAACAAATGAAAATACATTAATGATCTGAAAATCTGTAATGAATAAACTGATGAAACCATCATACAGTCTTTTAAAAGATTCAAATAATAATTGGGATGCAGGACAAATTTCTGACACATTGAAACAAACTGACATGGAATACTACCTTCTTCTTTCTGTACTGTCGTTGATTAGTCGGTGGACGTCGTTTTGTTCCCCAGAATGTCAAAATCATCTGGTTCCGAGAGCAAAACGAAATATTGAATGACAATAACTATATTCATGTCAAAACTTATTGACGAAAGAATGATTTCAAACAGCATGGAAGTTTATGTTTTGGAGATAATAGCAAAAGTTTTAGTGTTGGGACCATCATGAATATCACTTTCATCTTTGCTCAAAAACTTATACATAAGTTATATAACACATGAAATAAAGAGGCGTGGTTTTTATTTCCAACTTTCTAGAGATCTGTAACATGCAAAACCTGTAGCACTTGACTAATAGACCCATCCAATCCAAAGTATTAAATTGGAGACCTACGCTCTAATTCTCCATGTTCCCATCACTATATAACATTTCATTTAAAAAAAATCATACAACTTACATGTTTATCAGCTGGTTCTTGTTTGTCAGCTGAATTGTTATTAGCAGATACTATAGTAGAATCATAAGATAAATCTGTTCCTTCTCGCTCTAATATAGCTACCTGTTTTTCACCCATACTGCCACCCTGTATTGTACTGCTCTCTTGTTCTGTTAAATATTAGATCAATGTCTTGAGTGACTATCTATGATATTGATAATGTATGAAGATATGAATACATTGAGCAATGGGGTGAATTAAAGGAATCAATTTCAATGATCACACCAAAATTTAGCTTCAATTGTGCTCACAAACTAATTGTTTTAAACGTTACCAAGGGCAAAATCAGGACTTGTCTAAGATCTCAGTCTCTATTGTGCACGAAAGAACAGGGACGACAACAACATACTTAATCACATTTTCATATGGGCATATATATAAAGATATATAAAGATATATATATAAAGATATATATATAAAGATATATAAAGATATATATATAAAGATATATATATAAAGAACCAATGGCAAATCATCTTACCACTAAATTGACTAAACACAGTAGAATCTTCATTCACAAAATCTTTAATAGCTGCCTCCATTCTATTGTCTTGTTCCTCGGCAAAGTGAGTAGATGTTTTAGTAAAACAATGTTCTAGAGTTGGAAAGAACTGATGAATGTTGACATAGTTTGGATCAGAAGTTGGATCTGGGGTGGCCTTCTGATCATTGACATTTGGTGATTTAGTGCCAGTACTCTCTGCTATAGAAGGGTCAGCAGGATTCGTCTCCTGGTTTGGTTCCACAATTTCTGGTTTTTCTTCAGTCCCATCCCCATGCCCATCTTGTGTTTTATCTGGAATGCTCGACATTTCGATGGAGTTTTGAGATATGCAGCTCAGACCAATTTTCTACTAATTCTCTACCATGATGCTTGTTCTAAAATACAGTTCAAATACAAGATAAGATTCATAAAATCTGTATAAAGTTTTATAAACTGTCAAAATATAAATTATTTTACTGAAGCATATTTTGTAGGACGGCTTATTTTTTGTTTTTGTTTTTTGATGGATGAGACCTGAAATGTCTATCTAGATTAAAAATTACTGAAATATATTATGTATTGTGACATTATACATCAACCCCTTTAAACACCGGGAGTGTCTATGATTTTGGATTGACTATGGTTCAATAATATAACCAGTAAGCCTAGTAGAATTGGATAGGGCCAAACCTTAGCTTCTATAGGCTTAAATGATTTTTATTTTATTGAAGAAGCCTTGATATGCCTGTTTGTAACTGGTGTGATGCACTAGGCTATAGCTTATTTCTTGTAACCTACTGGCAAATGTACAGTAGGCCTAGTAAGCTTATAGATATAACAAAACATCATAAATAAATAAATACCCTACCAAATGCTGGGATACATTTTCACCCCCCTACCCCTCAACCCCATATATAGTTGTCAGTCTCACTATTTTCTTGTGAAAGATTTACACCTGACCTGAGGAGTGACAATAACACTAACAATAACAGCTCAGTTTGCAGTGACCTATTCATTAAGATAATGACTGTGAACACTGAAGAGTGTAGCTCATTTAGCTGGTTAGGCCATAGAACTGCATGTAAACAGTGACATTGACGTAGGCTAGTTAGTGAGTTTGTAAACATTTTCCACTACAAAATGAATATAGTGAGTGAATCTGACAGAATAATCAGGCTGCTTGCGTGATGCAAGTGAAGATAGCTTATTAACACATTATTTATTTATGGCCAATGAAATCTACTCACGCTAACGGGAAATTCAGCAGTTTTTTCTAAACTACCGTTATTTTTCACAGTTCATGTAGGCGGCCATATTGTTTACAATCTCCAAGGAGAAAAGTTGAATGCGCATGCGTACAGGTGAATATAACAGTAGATTAGTAAGGTGCTATTTCATTGATTATTTGATCAAAAGATTTTTACCGATATTTATCGGTTTATCCAATCACTTGATATGTCTTATCCTAGTCTTTTTCACAAAATATCTCAACTGTCATGGCCGATAATGTAGACTAGGCTACTCAGTAAAATAAAGATCATGAAAATGTAGAGAGAGTTTTCTGTTGAATTATAGCCTACTGTCAACTTGAAAACTTCTAAAATGGACCCCAAATTTCATTTGGATTTAGACCCAGAAATTATAGAACAATGTGATGAAATCAGAGCGATTGCTTCTAAGGTACATACAATTTAAAATAGCTTAGTTAGTGGTTATAATGATTGGCATTAGTTAAAACTGATTGCTAAAAGATTTACCACAAACATCTTTTATTCCAAGATTAAGATTAATTAGTGCCAATGGGCAAGTCTGGTTACTTCAAAAAATTATCTTAAATATGAATTTCAACATAGAAACACTACAATTTAAACAAAAAAGATTGTTTTTTTTACTGTAGGGATTCAATGTTCAGATCTATTTTGATTAGATCTTGTAGAATCACAAGGGATTTGAACATGGGGGTAATTTTGAAATATTTTGGGGGTAATAAGGTGTTTTGTAGTCTAGCGTAAAATTTTTGGCCTATTATGATATAAAGTCGTTCTATTCAGTCAGGCTGCATTCTCCAACATCTAAAAGTTTGCAGCAACAACCTGAGAGAAAATCAAAAAATGGGAAGGATTTATAGGGGAAGGGGGTAATGCAAACAATCAAGGATCTTGAAAAGGGTTATTAGATATAAAAGGTTGAAAACACCTGCTATAGAGCTATTCAGAGTTCATCTCTCAAATCTGTTTCACATGAATTTTTGACAATTCTATTGCTCCAAGTTGCCTCCCTAACCTTATGATTCATAGAAAAGCCACTGAACCCTGATAAAATTGTAAGTTGCATCTTTTCGTCTATAATTTTATCCTTCCCATTTATTTAATCCTATGCTTTTGTCCATGAATCGACTAACAAATTCTTTATGTCTTCCCTTAGAAATGGACAAATGCCAGTAGTGTATCACTAGCTAAATTAGATCAGATCAAAACTAAAGTTTATACCATTGGTTTTAATGATGCGGGAAGTCTACGGCCACCATCTTGTTTGAGTAATCAAAGAGATAAAGAGAATAAACCATTAGTTGAAGAATTTAAAACTGAACCCCAATTGTTAACTTTGGATTACCAGAAAACAGCTTGGTGAGGTTTGATTTTCTTAAAGTCCCCAAGACAAGAATTCGTATTTTGGTACTTGAAAGCTCCTACCAGACATGACTGGTGAAGATATCCAACACAACATCCCTGATTTTGTTGATAGCTATACTATTTTCTCATTTTTTTATTGTTGTGGATGTGGACCATCCTCGCACGTAGAGATCGTAGAGGGCACTTGTCATACTGGGGGGACATGCCCCCCCCCCCCCCCACCTAAATACACCACTGTTTAAACCAGCCAGCCCCCCTCTCCTTAGATTGCTCTATGGCCTTGGAAATAGGTGATTGATTTATAATTAAGTGGTAAATTGAGCTATTGTCTCTGTTGTTTGTTTTCTAAGGTTATAAATTATTAACACCAGTTAGTCACAGAGTGAAAATAGTTCTATCTCTTCCAATAACTTCTAGACACAGATCTTTATTTCCTTACCGACGACAATGTTTATTCTTCTTATCAGTTACAAGATTTATAGAGGTGTGCATTTTGTTAGTTTTGTGCAATGGAGGTTTCGAATTATTGATCTTGAAAATTGTCTTGATAACATATTGCTTGAAGATGTATGAAAACTAATGACTTGTCACTGAATAGTTTCATATTTGGATGATATTTTATAATAGGGAAGATATACACCAAAACAAGTTTTATCAGTGATGCGTTTGTTATATAATAGAAGTTCAGCAGTAAAGTGATATCTGTAATGGAATATATGTGTAAAATCTGTGATCTAGAATAATTATTCAGATACTGTGATGTTTATTGAATAATGCTCTGTCTTTAACATTTCAAAGTGTTAAAGTGTTACACATCGTTTCCAAACCACACCCCTATTTGACATTCTTCTTTGAAATAATAAGACTATGTCAAAACTCGTATCTGGATACAATAAGTGTTACATAGTATTTTGTGATCTGTACTGAATAAGTAAATGATGGGAAGGTGATTTGTGAAAACAATTGTGTTAACATGGACAACTAAACACAGAGTTGATTTTGAATGGTTATTGTTATTGAATATTACAGTTCAGTTCTTGACTTATAATGATGATTTATGATTATATGATAATAGATTGTGTTATTGGATATACATGTAGTTATTATGATATGTGTAATATCTTAACATGAAATTGAATTGTGATGATGATTAAGTGATGCCTTTGAGTTTAGTTTCAGTGAAACATTATACATTAAATCTTATGTATGAGCACCAGTTAACTTGAATTTGTCCTTGAGAGTATAGTTTTAGAGACTTAGATGTTCTGATGTAGGATAAATTATGAAATTGAAAACTAGCTTATGATGTATAGAATCAACCTCCATACAGGAGTTATTCAGAATAAGTAGGTTCATCTTCATCAAAGTTAGCACCAAATCACCTACACAAATCTAAATGATATATGATAACAAAGAGTGATCAAATTGTCAATCCAGAATCTTTCTTTTATTACAGCATTAGAATTGTATAATCGTTTTTTATAATTACAGTTGAACTGCTAGTTTGATTTTCATTCTAAAAAACTGAAATTAGAATCTTTTTAAGCAAATATCTCTACAATCATATCCTTTAAAGTATTCTCTTCTTGATTCTAGGGGCAGTAATTCATCTATACCAGAGTTATTAAAACAACAATCTAATAGAACACGTCCTGTAACATCTAATACCCAATCTCGAACCAGACCCTGGAGTGGAAAGAGACCAAGCACAACTTCTGGTGTCACTAAACCATCAATAGGACCGTCTAAACCTGATCTCACAGCTCCTATATCAGGTAAGAAAGCAGTCTTAGTCAAAATATTGTTTAATCTTATCTAACTCAGGTTTCTGGCTTGATGTGCTGTTTCTACTCACTGCTCTTCTGTGCTTTGTTATTGCTCTGTTATCGTTTTCTGTACTGTGTTGTCTTATTCTTGTTGAGTGTTTCTGTTAAATTTCTGTGCTCTGTTGTTTTCTTTGATGTGCTTTTCTGTGTATTGTTGTCCCAGCTGTGTGCTTCTGTTAAATGTTTCTGTGCTGTTTTTATCATTGTTGTATCTGTTATGGTTTCTCTGTGTAACTGTGTTGTGTTGTCAGGTTTTTTCTGTATCTTAACAGTAAAATCTTTAAGTTGAAAGATCAATATTAACTATATTAAAACTCCACTTTATTTTTATGAAACAGATTTATTTATTTGTGATCTTGGCAAGTGCATTGAGTTATTTCTGTTCTTTTTTGTTGAATTACTGTTATTTGTATTTTACTTCTTATTGTTATTAGCATTTTTTTACCATGCTATTTCTTTTTTTTCTTTTCTCTCTTCTCGGTCTTCTCTAAAAATAACCACATTGTGTTTTGTATTTCAGTAAGGGGAACTAAATGTGACCCTACAACAGGTAAAGTGTTAACACCACATATAGAAGATGATTGGTCACAGAATAATAGCAATGGTTTTAGATCTGGTTAGTGAGGATTTTCCTTTTTCAGTTTAATTGATGGATATTTTACATTTTAAGTTGTTTAAAGTTAAATTTTTAATTATTTTATTTCATTCAGGAGGCCTTGGATATTTATAAAAAAAAGTCTTTGATATTACTGGCACTTATAGCATCACAGATGTAAGAATACCCCAAATATACTGTTATCTTGTCCAATTTTTTTTCTCACCTCTGCCTAAAATATCATATTGATTGGTAAGTTATTTCTTATTAATTTAACAGAACGTTATCAAGATTCTCCCAGAGCACCTGTTCCTTCTCCTGATATTATACAAGATAAAGTGTAAGTTAATATCTTTTCTTAGTGTTGAGCAGGTTTAATAAAATATAAATTAAAGTATCATCATTATACCTGTCCTCCCTGTGCCAGCTAGGCAGGCCGTGACCCCTAATACCAAACTTCAGTTTTTCGGTTTCTATCAATTTGTATTCTTTTCACTCATTTTCTGACAGTCTATTATAGGATTATCAAGCAACCGTAGATTGCCAAAAGTTTAAAAACTTTCCAACTTTCTATGTTATCAACTCTCGGCAGTGTCTGTTAAACTGAATATACCCTGGATATATGAAAATAGAAAGAAAAACTCAGATATTGCATTACACATTGGATATAAATAAAATGAATCCTTGTGTCTCCTTCACATTTAATTCTTAGGAAATCCCAAGAGTACCATATGTAACAAATGATTTTATATTTATTAGAGATGGAAGAAGAAGTGGTAGAAGGTCACCATTAGTGTTACTACGGAAACCAACACCAGAACCACTACATTTACAACTACCATCAATGGGTAGCCTTAGTGATGAGGAGAATGATGATGATGATGACCTAGATACTGAGAGGTCAGTTCATGTTTTTGGGGTTTCTAGGGATGGAGAGTGTGGTGTTTGCCACAGGGTAGTCTGGAAATTGTTCAGAAGTGATCTCTGTTTGTGGAATTAGAGTTAGATTGTAAAGATAGAAAATAATGCCCACCATGTGAGATGGTTGTTTTTTTAAGTAGCCTAACAAGTGATTTTAGTTTTTAGCTTGCATTTGTTGTAAACATGGAGAAGTCTGCTTTTCTTGGTAAGCCTTCTTAAACACCTCAACTTTTTGTGCCCTTTTGTGATGATTTGTCTTAAAGAGATATCAAATTTATTTTTCATTCTCCAGGTTGTTGGAAAAGGCTACAGTTTTCTCTAGTAAGAGCAACAATGACTTATTGAATGGTTCTTCAGAATTTCGTTATTCACATGACCTTGACATTGCTGACAGAGAACGAAAACGGTCAGAGGTCATTGGCAAGGTGACAGAAGCATTTGGAGAGACTATGAATGGAGAAACAGAAAAAAGCCACAAAAGTTCAAATGTTTTAATTAGAGAAGACAGAAATAAAATAATTGACATATCTCCAAGGCAACCAAATACAAGGTCAAGGCCAGTATCAGCTGCTAAGAAGAGGGCTGATCAAAAAATTGTACAGAAAGCTAATTTGAGCAAAACAAATGGTCATGGTGTTGATAGTGATAGATCAAGAACTTCTCGACAGTCCTCATCAGAAAGTGAACATGTTGACCCAATATCTGTCTTGGTCAGAATTCCTGCAGAACAAAATGAAGATTCTGTTCAAAGAGGGAAATTGTCGTCCAATAAATTGCGAGTGGATTCTGATTCGTCCAATGGTAGTGGGACACAGAAACCTGTCTCGCCTATCACAGTCATAAATATAGGCTCATGCGAACAGACGGCCATTCCAGAATCTAATCGTGGATTCAGATCAGTCTCGCCAAAACGTCTTGCTACTGGACAACGACCTGTGACCCCTGCTGCTACCATAGTAACAGTTGATTATGGTGATGATACAAGCAGACCTTGTGAATTAGCTCCAGCAGAAGATCTCAGCAAATATGACAACTCTGCTAAAAACTACCTTGATGCAGGTGATGGCCATAAATCGCGACCTGCTTCATCCCGATTGAATCACTACGAGAAGTCCCTGAGATCCAGCACAAATGAAAAAGTGTTTAAAACAACGAAGACATTGGAGTTTGATCCCACTGGAGCTAAAGATACAAGCGTGAAGTCAGTTCTAGATGGAGAATGTTATAAACCAACAGAACCTAAATCTGTATCAGGAGAACAACTGAAGAAATTGAAACAAACAAGACCTCCTACAGTTACACGTAAAAGTGTAAGTATTTGTAAACCTTTAATTGAGCGGTTTAGTAGAGGAACTGCTCTGTACTTAAGTCCTACTACTGGGTCTCAATTCATACTATAATCTGTATCTGATGAAAACTGGCATTGCATTTTGATCAATTTTGTCCAAATTTTCTTGGTCAGTCAGAAAAGCAGAGCAAGATAGCTTGGATGACCAGTTTTAGTGATAGTCCCCTCAGATGGTGATCCCTAAATTAATCTAATATTTTTTGAATTTTAGTGTAAAATTAAATCACCTCCACCAACTGGAGATGAAGTTTCTACTCTGAATGTGGTGGAAAATCTGCCCCATGATGTCTCTTATAAGGTAAATTGAGGTCTTCATTTGTAGGTCTGTTATATTGGAGGGCTCCTCCTATTATTCATTTACTGGTACATACCAACAAAACACTTCAACTTATTAAAGGCTTTTCAAAGAATTGCAACATAGTCCATATAGAAACACATGTCAATACATTGGAACTTTGGAGTTCCATAGGTTTCATTTACTTAGTCTAATAGATGAAAGTAAAATTTGCATCCAGAGACAGTACCAATTTGAAGACTTCATCTGAAAACATTTCAAGTCATGCAGTTGAGATCTTTGCCAGGACTTGAAAGTTGAGTTATCAATAGAGGAAATGTTTAATGTGATTATTTAATTAGAATGTTTATTTAGGTTTGATTGGATCTACTGGGTTTCCATTTTGTAATAACGTTGCTTTGTGTTGATATTAATTTGCATGATTGCATAAATGTATTCTCATTAAATGTTTCTATCTCCTTGAGTTTATCCCTATGAATGTATCCCTTTGCATTTCACTTCATACATGTGTTTCCATAAATGTACCTTTACATGTATACCATACACACTCCCAAGCCACAATGCAATGATCTTATATTTAGGAAAATTGGCCCTATATCAAAGATCAAAGATATTCCTATCAGACATGACCGACAAATATAGCCTAATCAACAGCCCTGGCCAATACTGATTTAATACTTCTAAACCCTGCATCATATATATATTCATCACAGTATATAAATCTTGTATCACTTCATGTTATTAATTTTTGAATTTACCCCATAACCTATTCAATAACAGTTTAGCAATATAACTGCACACCGTGTTTAAATGTATGTCTGTATTATTATGAAAATCTTTTTGAATTACCATTTACTTTAAATTTGAATATTGTGATACTTCCTCCAACTTTCTAGATTTTTGATAGATGAAACAGTATTTTACTAACTCATCTATTTTTCAAAATAAAAACGATAAAAATTTAAACAAAATTGTACTTGAATAACTAATTTACAGGGTGCAAGTTTTAAAATCAATGACCCTAATTTTGAAAGTAAAAGTTATTTTGATCCATATATTGGTGTTAAATTTCTTATGTTTAGACAAAAAACAGGAAATATAAGAACAGTGGTAAGTCTATTGTGATGATTTCATTTAACTTCCATATCATTGAGGGGTTAGTATTCGCTGCAATCATTTGATGTCAAGGCCAAATTAACTACAGCGACTATGAATATGACACAAACTACATGTAGTATTGATACTCAAACTTTTTTTATATTTTCTATAGGAACCGGTTTGCGAAAAGTAGGCCAAATACCAAACTTATGTGATTTAGTTTGTAGCTATTGAAAAAACTTCTGATTGATCTTAGACTATACGATTTACCTTCTCATTCTATAACCTAGACCTACTACTTTTTTACTGTTATTGTTCAATACCCATCTGTTCTGCCAAATGTAATAAAGTATGGTTTGTTTGTATATATATCTATTTCTGTATTAGGCTACTCTGTAATCAAATGGTCATTAATATCTCATAATCCTTCCTTCCTTAGTATATGTTCAGATAGATATCGTCCTCCAGATATTCACCTAATCATCTTAGGACATAACTGAAATTTTTCTGGTTGATTATCAAACTCTTAAATTTCTATGTTATGCTTATATAGTGAATATTTTTGGGGACTGCATCCCTTTATGTATGATGTTAATATAGATTCAAATCATGAACGTCAGGATATTCAGTTTTGACTCATTAACTTATTATAGCCAATCAACATTAAGATAAAGACTGAAGGTCTAGAAGCTGAGCTGGTTCAACCGAAGATATCTTACGCTAGAGCAAAGTGAGTTATCTTTCCTTATTTATAATCACTCAATTTTGTAAAATAAACATTTTTCTGTTATCAGTTTTTGATCTGTAGCCTACCTGTATAAAGCTTTTGTTAAAAGGATTATAGAGGAAAGATAAATTCAAATTCACAGCTCTATACCTTTGTCTTTTTCAGATCAGCTCCTGTCAGACCTAAATGGCATTCAGCAAGTAAGTAGAATATCCTAACTATATGATTTTAAGTGGCCTGATTAGCTCTTTTCATAGTTACAATATTGATTTATGTTAAAGGGGCTGTGCTCAATTTTAAACATTATTTATCAAATAGACTAGATGAATAGTTAAAAATGGAAGCCTGAAAAGAAATGAATTTGAAAATCAGACTGGTTTTGATGGAAAAAACGTGCAGATTGAATTTTTTGTCATAATATCATCAATATTTTTCAGAGAAGGGAAGATCTTTATATGGATCAGAAGAAGAAAAACCAAAGATAACAAAAGAAAAGAAACCAGTGAACCCTGAAGATATTTTGAATATTGTCTCCAAGAACCCTGATCTGGTACGCTTTTTCCTTTGATATTTGTAATTAAAATCTATTCAAAGCATGAAAAATTGGAAGCAATATTGTACAGTAGTATGGTAGGACTGTAGCAATCCTTGAAACAGTCTAAAAACTTTGGCTTCTATATGGGCACCCCAGGGCTGTTCTATTGGCCATATTTATTTGCCCAGCACCCACATATCAAATTCTATGATCAAAATTGGAATTAATAGTTTATTTTTATTTTTCAGGAGAAATTTGAAAGTCAAGAAAAGAGAGAATGTCAGTATATGAAAGATAAACTAGCTAGAAATGGTATCAATGTTACTACAGCAACATTAGAAAGGTACTGTATATTTTCATTCTTTTACTTCTGTATTCCATTTTGTAATCATATACCAGATCGTACTCCTCTGTTTTATCATTAATTAATATATTATATTATTATTTCAGAGCTTTATATCCCCCTACTGGTAAAACATTATATTATTATTTCAGACCTTTATATCCCCCTACTGGTAAAACATTATAATATTATTTCAGAACTTTATATCCTCCTACTGGTAAAACAATATATTATTATTTCAGAGCTTTATATCCTCCTACTGGTAAAACATTATATTATTATTTCAGAGCTTTATATCCTCCTACTGGTAAAACATTATATTATTATTTCAGAGCTTTATATCCCCCTACTGGTAAAACATTATATTATTATTTCAGAGCTTTATATCCTCTTATTGGTAAAACATTATATTATTATTTCAGAGCTTTATATCCTCCTACTGGTAAAACATTATATTATTATTTCAGAGCTTTATATCCCCCTACTGGTAAAACATTATAATATTATTTCAGAACTTTATATCCTCCTATTGGTAAAACATTATATTATTATTTCAGAGCTTTATATCCTCCTATTGGTAAAACATTATAATATTATTTCAGAACTTTATATCCTCCTATTGGTAAAACATTATATTATTATTTCAGAGCTTTATATCCCCCTACTGGTAAAACATTATACTATGATGTTCCAGGATATTTACCTGCTACTTATAGCTCTAGGTAAGATCAGAAGATTTCTTTAGTTTACATGATTAACACAGCTGTCATCATGGCAAGGATTTTGACTGATATATTGAATAAGGCAGAAGAGTCAGAGTAGTAGATCAGTGGGATAGCTGTCAGTAGCATGTTGTTATCCATGAGTTCGAATTCACCTGGGACGAAAATTTTTATGCTAAGGACAGCACTTGCAGAAGTCCAGTGTCCTTTCACCAATATACTTGGTAGTCTGTATATCAGTTTGTTTTTAAATTTAGATAAGACTAGTATAGTTATATTTAGAAACATGGTTAGAGTTATTGTCCTTGATTTACAATACCGGTATATGTTAATATTGACCCAATGTACTTGTTTCTCACTAAATTTCTGATGAATTTTGTTAAATCTCACTTGTGTTTTATACTTGTTTTTCCAGTTTACTGAGCCATCCGAGAGTTTGGATGCCTGAAAATTATAAAAGATTCAAAGAAGCTGAGAAACAACTTGGTAAGATAATTCTTTCAAATCGCATGACAATAGGTGTTCAATACAAAAAGTAGTGGAGTTATCATATATATAACACCACACACGTATTATTGCATAGCTATACATTCTTAACATTAAGGAAATAAATCCTATTTTATGAGGATTTAAGAAATTGAAAGTTTACGCATCATGTTTTACAATAAATTTTGCTCCAAATCCTACGAGAGATTGGAACTCATATAATTTTTTAATTAATTTCTTATAGAACGAGCCAACCATATGTTATGGCTACAGAAACGAGAAGAAGAAAGAGATGACCCTGGTTTTAAACCAATCAAGCCAAAACCGAAATCATTATTAACTACGCGAAAAGCAACAAAATCGGCTAAAAAACGGAAAAAAGTCAAGAAACCAACATTAAAGAGAAGTCAAAGTTTTGGATAAAAATTATCAGCTTTAGTTGAAAAAGGCATTTAGTTAGACACTTTAATTATGCAGCAAGACAAATTTTGTCTGTTCAACAGCAGATTTTTATAATCAGGAATTTTTTGTATTATTTAAAAGGAATAATAAGCACAAAATTGACCCAATTTGAATTAGATCTCAATCATCTAGACAATATATCTAGGCAAGGCTAGTGCTACGTAATTATTAATTCAAATTCAAATTGAATATTAGTTATACAGAGTGTAGCAAGTCTTTTATTTGTTATGTATTTATTTATAAAATTGGCAAAATGTAGATCAGATTTTTATGAATTGTAAGTGCCATAAAAGTTGGGAGTTTTAATATTGTGTCTTATGACTTCATATTTATATGTTCATCGAGAGTTTTATTTGTGGATATATCAATCAGTGAGGGAATCCATTTTCACAGTTGCTGCAAAATTGTCTGAGGTGAAAACAGAACAGTCAAATGTATTTGCAATGCTTCATACAGTTAAAAAGGGGTTTGGTGTGTGAACCATTATATCATGCCCCAAAAATAATCATCTCCAGTCATATTTATCACTAAATGACCATAACTTGCCGGTTAGTTCTTTGTTATACTAAACAGTATTCTATAAATTTTATTATTAGTTTTACAATATTGTATTAACAGTCAGCAGTTTTCAAAGTTAAGGTCTCTGATCCCAGTGGTAGAAATATACTACTGCTTAGATTAGTATTTTTTAGCAATAGTTAATGATGAGATTATGATTTTTAGTATGTCTCAATTTAAGGATAATCATTAAGATATTGTCCTAATATCAATGTCTCAACTTTTTTTTAACTTATATGATTACCTTTTATACCATTATTTTATGACAGACCCAAATTATTGTGATAAAAGTTATTACAGCTTGAATCTCTTCACAGATATCTAAAAATCAATAATATAACTACGAAATAACATGCCTTTCTTTTTGCTATATTGACAAAGGCACATCGCTCTTGTACGTGTTATTAATGAAACTTCAGATACCTGTGAAATCTTTTAAAGTGTTGAATATCTATACTTCATTATTTCAGTATTAATTATGAGCATTTACTGTTTATAAATTGTCAAATAACTCATACCTGTGATATAGTGAAATTAATACTGTCTTCAAAATAAACATTGCTTCCAATGCTGAAATCCACAGTTCCTACTTGTGACCTAGGCCAGTGCATCTATAAGAGAGTTTCTTTTCTAAAACCTTATACTGCTTTCTTTGGATGGTAAATCATGCGAATACCAAGATATTTTGTTCTTTATTATTGTATATTAAAAACTCTGTAATACAGTGAACCAATGCCAGTGACTACCAACTAATGCCATTAATTCCAGTGTCCTGCTTTGTTTAGTATTAACATATTTTTTACTGAAAACATTTTTATTCATTGAAGGCAGTGTGAATTTCCTGAAATTAATTTATTTTAACGTATTGTGTAGTGCTTAATAATTTTAATTATTGAATTTTATAATAAAAAGCTTTTACGATCCACTTTGTCCTTTTGATAAAACTTTGGAACTTGGTGCTATTCTGTCTTTTTACAGTTGTTTAATGTCAACAGCATTTGAAACATAGTTTCTATTATTTGTGTGAAACTCTGAGAAGCTTTGAGCCTATTAAACAAACACTCCAATGTGAATTATAATCAAATTATGAATTTTTTTTATTTTTCAAGAAATCATTTTCAGACAACTTCTTATATTAGTTATAAAATAAAGCACTAGAAATGGTATTGAGAATGAAGACGGCTTTATTTACAAAATGATTCACAATTAATCAGGGTCTCTTGCTGATCTTTGCAAGTTAACAATATTTACATGATTTCAATATTCTTTTATTTGTGAGTGCCTGCACACATTCATATTTGGCCAGTACTGCTGATCCAAAGTTTTTCCACCAGACACTTCAAAATAGCAAGGTCTCATATTAGAGATCAACGTGGTAAAATCCATCCATTGCAATTTACGCTTTCTTATTCTACTTTTTTTTCTCAAAAGATGTTAAAAGATCACAAAGTAATTTCAAAGCTGCCAAATACACAATGTTTATGAAACCAGCAGCCCTGACTCTGAACTGACACAAATATTAGTCTATGTAGCACTAGAGAAGCTTTAGTAGAATGTTATCTTGATTTGTTCTGTGCAGCTTCTTTCCGTGCTGCATCTTGTAGTAACTGTGTATCACATTCATCAGCTGGTAACTGGACATATCTGACTACTGAACCCCGAATAAAACAGTTCTTTACTGATAACTGAAATAAACATGATATGGGCATATCAATCAATGCAATCAAAATACATTGAAGCAGGTTTCTTTTCAGCACCTTCTTCAGATCAGAAGATAGGCAATATTCGGTAATTATGGAAATTTTTCAAGGACAGTAACGTTTGACTACTTTTTTTTCAATTTCCAACAACATGCAGGTCTTAAGTGAACATGACCCTTAGTACACAGGGCCATGAGGCATTGGTGTATTGCCTTACTATACCACTACACATTTCTACTTATGGTTTCTACAACCTGCATTACAAACAAGTAGAACTGGGTTCTATATGAATCTCCTTGACCTATGCCAGGAATGAAAGAATGAATACGGTAAGTGAGCCTTGTACAGTCAAAGTTGCATAACTTTCAGGAATAATAAATAGAGCTGAAGCACAATTAGACACTATTTCATTGCATGATGTTAGCTACTGCCATAGAAATGTAATATCTAATAAATTGGGAGAAATAATAGTAAGTACCAACCATATGAGGATATTTATCAGGATCTGTTACACTGATGTCTGTAAGTTTGATATTTAAAAACTGGTCTACAGAATGTAATGTACCACATATACTGAAAACACAGGGTGTGAAAATGAGGATTCAATTAATATTGAGCACAACCCGATTTAAGGAACATGGTTGTGCTATTTAGTTCAATATAATTTAAAAGACTTTAAGAGAGTCTGTATTGTACAATGATGAACTTGGCACACTTTTTCAGTGACTTCTGTTCAAAAACCCATTCAGATAAAATCTTTATCAATAATGTTTTAGTGCTGGCAAAATGTATGTAGTATCCAAATTAATGACTTTTCTTGATCATACGTCTTGTTATAAATTATAATTTATACCTGAGATCATTTTTTAATTCAACAACAACATCTTTACCAACTAACGACTTGAAAAACGAATAAAACAACTAAAAAAGAAAAGAGGAATTAAATCATTAGATCTGTATTAGCAATTACCTAAGACTCATTAACAAATAACACTACCTGAAGTCTAAAATCAGTCTCTCAAAGCATAAATTTAAGAGATTTTACAATCTAAGTAGAGGTGGTCGTAGTAAACAGATTTTACTGTAAAGGGGGATAATTTGGTTGCATTTCACAATAAGGAGTGATATAATATGAAACCTTGAGTTGACATCTAAGCAAAGGCAATAAATCCCATAAGATCATAATGCTAAATAGATTTTCTTCTTGGAAAATTAATTATGATCATAAAATTACGAATCATATCAAAGAAAGCGAGAAAAGCCGGCGAAATTCGTTACCATTTCGACTGTTTTGATACAGGTCTCCCGCAATAAGTAAACCCACGTGTGTGACGAGATTCCAAATTTCACGCTTCGATTAGCGCCTTTCTTTTAAAATCCAAAATTACGGAGAAATTTGCATTGATCAATAATGAAAATTGATAATCTCATTCTATCCCTAATTAGCATTATTAAGCCAGAGTTAATCATTTTAACTCCTGTCACGTGACTATAGACGAGATTTTCCTCCATTACTGAAAACAACACAAAACGGCAAACTCATCGTGAAATTTATTTTTTTGAGATTTCTCGACTAAAAAGTGAATGGTGCAATGGAAACTCACATGAAAGAACTATATGGTCAAAACGGACCCAAACAAGCTCATTTCAGTCCATATGCTTTTAATGGAGGGTAAGTAGGCCAAATGGACATGGTTTATTCATGCATTTTTCTCTGAAGACTGTGAGAGTGACTGTGTTGTACTTCCTATATCCAAGACCAAGATAATGGGGATGGGGGTTCTGAATTTTGTTGCATGAGGATAGCTGATGTCAACCACATTCACAGAGTCATATCATATCTCATTATTTTCATTATATTCCACATCCATAGGCTTATTGACTTTCCAAGACCAGGGGCAAAAGTACTGTTTGTGTTAGAAGATTAGAAAGAAAGAATTTCATTCCTTAATTTTGTCTTTTATATTTTAGAACTGTGTTGGCAGTAGCAGGAGAAGATTTTGCTGTAGTAGCTTCAGACACACGACTTAGTGAAGGTTTCTCAATTCATTCTAGAGAGGCACCTAAAACCTATAAATTGTAAGTACATAGTTGGCATACCAGTACTGGCATGTAGTTCCTCCCTTTACAAGTTCCTCTCTAGTGGTTTCCCCCCAGTGGTTTCCACCTCTTTTTAATCCTAGTGTTTTCCACCCCTATTTTAAGACAAACAAAGGAAGAAATAACTCTACAAAACTTTTAACCAATGTTATTGATGAGAATAATTTTGTTTGTTTTATAGAAGTGAAAAAACTGTGCTAGGAAGTTGTGGTTTCCATGGTGATGTTTTGACGTTGACGAAAGTGATTGGAGCCAGATTAAAGGTATATTAATATAGAATTAGAACTTAAAAGAACTATAAAAAAATGGACAAAGCTTGTAAGATGTGGAAGTTGATGTGATCACTTATCATGTTTCTACAAGATTTGTAACTATCAAATTATTCTTTGGCCATGATCTTTCTTATGAAAAGAAAACTGAAATAAAGATGACATGCTTGCTGTTAAATTGTGTAGAGAATGGTATTGATGAAGCTTCTTTGCTTAGATCATTTTGTCATTGCTGGCACCTAAAGTAAAGTTTCAAAAAGTATTGAATTATCTAGTTATTCTAGTAACCCAACTAATTTTGATGCCAGTGATGGTGCTATATTTATTGTCTTTGTCTCTAATACAAGAATGAATAATTTGTAGATGTATGAACACAGTCACAATAAGAAGATGAGTACCACCAGTATAGCTGCCATGTTATCAACTATGTTATATTATAAACGATTCTTTCCTTATTATGTTTATAATATAATTGGTGGAATTGATGATGAAGGTACAGTATATCTATTCACTATAGATTTGAATTAAATTAAAGAGATGAAATACTTGGTTTATTTGACTTAGTAACTCTATCAAACCTACATTTTAGAAGGTGTCTTAGATACTTTTCATAAATTTTATGTCAAGGTACTCGTTTGTGCAATCATCATTGTACTCATAAAACTAAAGAACAGTGTATGTATGTATCTATCTGTAGGTAAAGGGTGTGTGTTTAGTTTTGATCCTGTTGGATCCTATGAAAGAGAAGCTTATAGAGCAGGAGGATCAGCTAGTTCTATGTTACAACCTCTATTAGATAATCAGGTAAATACATAATATCATATTTTACCCCAAAATTCCATACCATAAATTTGATAAAAAAAAAAATAATTAGACCAACATGAAAAATATATAAATAACATCAGTGTAGAGGTAATTCATGAGGTGCCAAAACAAGTTCATTGAGTGACATCATGTCCCTTCTTAATTTGTGTGTATTGTGATATTATTAATTGGCCTTTGTGATCATATTATCTGAGATAAAGCCTAAGATATGCTAATATCTTTAAAATTATGTTTGATTTGATTGAATAATAAAAGAAGTAAGAAGACACCTTTTAAGAGTGACTATTATATGAGGCATTACTTACAATTTGATTTGATTAGTTTAAGAATAAAGAACAAAGTATTGAGTTTATTAGCCTCATGTATATAATAATCTCATGTTTATCTGTATTGTAGATTGGGTTTAAGAATCAAGAAGGAGTAGCAGTAGTGCCATTGAGTAAAGAAAAAGCAGTAAATCTAGTAAAAGATGTATTTATATCAGCAGCTGAACGAGATATTTACACTGGAGATGCCATCATAGTTAAAGTTATAACTAAAGATGGAGTCACATCAGAACAATTCCCATTACGTAAAGACTAGATCTATTTCATCTGGTATTGTTGGTGCAGAATTCTTCATTCATCTAGTTAAAGATCACTTTGTATATAGGAAATAAAATTATTTCATCCAAATAGTTTTATAAGCTCAATATTATGTACGAAATTCAAAAGATATATTTTAGCATTGAAAGCCTAAGAGATGAAATAGGCCAATAATAATAAACCTCCCAAAAGGTCTGGCTTGTAGGCTATAGTTTCTATTACTATTTATTCTGCTTTAAATCTGGATGTGCTCCACAATCACATTAATTAAAGAGGCCCATGACCTGCCATTCCAAGAATCAGACCTTGTCGCATGGTCCAGCAATAAATATAACAACTTTTGAAATGCATTAATTCTTTTATTATGAAATAATGTTAATCAACCTGAACATTACCAAAAGTTGACAAATCAAGCCGAACATGGCCATGTCAAAATCAAATGGAACAAACAAGAACATAGCACAACGCTTGCTGTAGTATTTTCACAAATTCATTCCACATTATAGTTTATACACTAGCTGATAGATAGCAACCATCCCATAATAGTTATTCACAATTCCCAATCCTGGAAGCCTTAAGCTTGCATTCATGCATCTTTCTATTAGCCCATTGTATCTCATAAGACAAAACAGTTTGCATCCCATGTATAGGAGTGACTAAAATCTTGTTTCAGACTGAAAACTTTTTTACACTGATGTAAGAAATTTCTTTAAATGCTTGGAGGGCATGTTTGAATCCAAAAAACACCAATCCTGATTCAACCTCCATCAATAATTTCTAAATTGACCTGTTTGATTCTATCAAATACAATTCAAAATGATGAGGTCTGTTTGATTACATTAAGCACCAATCACAGTAAAATGTTCTCTTTCTCCTTTCTTACAGGAGTAGGGAAGGCTGTCCAAGTCTGGTCAACCAAATAATTGGGGTATACAGGCTATATCTAGCCTTCCCTTCTCCCTAGGTTATTTCATATGAAAAATCCACGAATGCAGCCATATAAGAGAGTAATATAAACTAGTAATTTGAAAATAATATAATCCTTCTCCACTTGAAATATCGAAAGAAGAGTAACTGTTAACAAGCTTTTCACTTTTTACCTTTTGGTTCCAAAGGTTGACCTTTGTTAGCTCCACGTAATCTTAAGCCTGAATAAATGAAGAAATTTAACTTGGATTATTAATATTTCCATTTCAAAAGCATTCATCAATGAAACGTTTTGGAATTATTGCCCTTGACAACATGCTTTGATGTTTACCTATCATGAGGAAATTTGGTTTGGAAGTAAACTAATACCAGTTTTAAATTAACTATGAAGTGAACACAACTGACAAGAGAAGCCAACAATGAGAATTTTTGTTTATTAAGACATTGCATTGACACAATTATTTTTTACTTACCAAGAGTCCTCTCCATCTTGGCTAGAATACCTTGTGCTGGAATAGCCTTGCCGGACTCATAATCATTTACAACTGACGGCTTTTCATTGATCCTCTACAAAAAAAAATAATAATACAGTGGCGTTGTTTCAGTGGCATTAAGAAAATGAATTAACTAAATTTGCCACATTGAAGTTGACACTTAAAATTTTGACATTGTTTGATACTTACTGTAGCCAGTTCTTTCTGGGTTAAACCCTTGTTAGAACGTCCTTTTTGGATCAACTGAGCCACACTTCTATCAATAGCATCATGGTGCAGTTCTTCTGTCTCTCGATCTAATTTAGCTGTATTTTTATCAGTTGTCACATGTTTATTGGTGGCAGCAGCATCTAGAAAACAATAAGGAAAAGCTAATGAACCAAACAGTAATTTTAAACTTAACTACAGTCACTTTGCACTATATAGAAATAACATTCCAGCACCCTATATCAGGGATGACAGATTGGTTTAACGAATATTCAGGTAGATAACAGGTTTCCTAAAAAAAAAAACTGTGATGTTTTTAAATACAAACTAATACATACATTTCTTCCTCGTGTCAACAACCCCACCGGATTGCATAGCTCGATTAACAGCCTGAAAAACAGTGAAATAAAATATATAATATGGATTCATTTAAAAGGACTACATCACATTTTAACTTTAAACACCGGTACCACAAAATTCCACCATAATTACTGTTTCCATCTAGGCCTATATAAGTAATTTTCAGTTATACACAAGATAACATTGCATCATGCCAATGGCAATATTAACGTAAGACTGACTTAAAAGGTGATTGACTGATTGGTGAGGAAGCATTTTATTGTTTAGATTTTATGAGTTGTCATGTTGGTTGTAAATGTAAACCTATCTAAAAATAAAAAACAAAATTATTAGATCTAAAAAATGTCAGAGTATAGTATATCAATGTCTATCAGAGTGGTGCAATAACTAGGTTAGTTGCGAATCAACCGGAATAAGCCAACAAAATCAAAACAAAACTTAGCAAGATTCATACCCCAGTTGTTCGTCTTTCCTGAGCCTTTGGTGGGGCTTTTCTCAGGTAAGTAACTTCATTCCAAGCGTCCCCCATTTCTGCTGTATGTGATTGATTAAAATTCCTAAAGTGAACTGGACTACGAAGAAAACTTTTTCATATAAAATGAAAAATAATTGCTATGGGTTATGAAATATGGCGGATCTGTAGTGTGAAATAAACATCTGCCTAACTTTGGTTGTCGTAAAATAATGCGTTGGCAAAATTAATGACAAAGCTTGATGAAAATATTTTTGCAAATTTGCAGAGAAACTGGAACTTTAGGGGAAAAAAAGAATTTCTAGATCGAAATCCAGAAATAAATGAATTTGCAATTGTCGTAAAATTTGTTGAACTTGGTTGGTTGTTTTTCTATCAAGGCGTTTAATGTCAAAGATTCAATAAAAATTATCATTTTCATCTGCATGATCTTATTAAAAGAAAATTGTTTAAATGAAATCACACTTTTAGAATTATGTCAAGTTGACATTTTATATTTAGTGAATCGAGTTAAACCGGAAGCTGATGATATTATGAAACCGGAAGTTTAGAAAATCATAAGTTGGAAATCTTTTCCAGATAAAACTAGAATAGAAATCAAAAAGGCCTATCTAATAGTTAATTGAAAGTCATATTTCGAAACCATATTGCCATCTATGAGATAAAAGCTCTTTTTGTAAGTTTGTGAGATCTTATCACCTGTGTGTTCTAAATGTGCAACCCCCACCCTTTCCTGCAAGTTCACTCATTTCACATATTAATCTTCAAATTCGATCTCATTCCTCGATCTTGTAGGCCTACTACCCTTATAATGCCTTATATACTTGATCTCCTGTCCATAAGTAAACATTTTTTGACTACCTCCTGGAATAATAAATATGGTGAAGTTAAGGTGATACCTACCTCTTAGAATAGACAGAAACATAAAATTTATACTATATAGTCTCAAACTTAGTCAAAGAATATTCATCAGTTCAACTTACTAGGTGCCATGACTAAAGAATATACACTCTAAACTAAATGAATACTGATATACGCTTCTGTAGTATAAACAGGTTTCAAAATTACTTCTCTGTTTACAATGTTTAATGAATTGCAATTTGGCAATCATTTCTGAATGAATTGAAATATCAACTACTAAATACTATTGAGAGCCTTAGGTTGTCTTTGGGGTGATTTTAACCCACTTGAAAAGTTAATATTTTGTCAACATGATATACAAACTGAAGGTAATTTTCAGTCTGCAAAGTAGGTCATTTTCTATTGAGAATTTTAAATATATTTATGTATTGTAGGTGAGAATATAAGGTTATTAACATGTTGGAGGTGACAGTAAAAACTCTGGATGGCCAGAATAAAAACTACACTGTTCCTGAAGAGGTTAGTAATTATTAAGTTATAATGGCCCTCATGTTAGTTCACTTATGGAAAAAACTGAAATGTAATAATGTCCATGACTTCAGACACTAGATACAATCAATACTGTGAAATATCAATATATTGTTGGCCCTTTTTAGTTTTATTGCACTCCATGAAGTTGTATGTGTGCTTAATCTGAATCTCTGAAAGTTTGTTTTTGGTGGAGGGACCTCCCAACACTGTAACTGCAGGGCATTTTTGACTTTGTATTCTATTTATTATAGATGACGGTGAAGGACTTTAAAATAAAAATATCAGACTCAATCGTAAGTATTTTTCAATGCTCTCTTTGTCTAGGGATGTATTGATTAATATGTGATTTTAAATTGAATTTTTAAATTCAAATTTAATGTTGATGTCAAGAGATAGTTTATATTTTTTAATTTGGCTTATTACCACAGGAATTAAAGTGTATAATAAAACTAAGGGAAGTATACCATAAAATTGTGTTCTGTTTTTTAATAGAAATATTGTTTTAATGGAGATGATGCAATGGATCTGATTTTGATTTCAAATAATTTAGTTAAAAGTTAAAATAGGCCTGTATCCATTCATACATTGCATTATGACAAACAATAAATTTATAACAAAGAAAGAAGTGGGGGTGTCACACAGCACAGCACAATCTTTATCTCTTATATTAAACAATAAATTTACTGTACTTTGCTTAAAATTCTTATGTTATGTACCATATGATTAAAAAATAATGTCTGTTACAGAATATATCTGCTGATAGCCAAAGATTAATATTTCATGGTAAAGTTCTACAAGATGATACACAGCTTAAGGAATATGATGTACATGGTAAAGTTATTCATGTTGTACAGCGGGCACCACCTACATCACGATCTTCAACAAGGACAGAGAACTCTAATACAACCAATATGAGAGGACCAAATTTAATGGGCATCCCCAGACCTTCGGAAGTCAACATTGTCAGAGTAAGTTGTATTTGATCAGATTCCTCCACCTTCACTGTTTTATGCAGACATGTTTCATTTAAACAATCTTCGTCTCTTTTTGGCAATGGAGTTTTACTGCCCAACTTTAGGTTTTATTTTGTCAAATCATTTTTTCATCCTTCCATTAATGTTTTGTTTGTATATTTAAGCTGTGTTATTATTGTTTATTTAGATTGTCAATTATTTGGATATATCAACTAATATTTTTGACTATTTAGATTGATGTAAACAGTGGTCGACCAAGAGGTAACGATGCTCCTAGAAATCAGATTGAGAATATAAGACGTTATTTACGTCAGTTAAAGAGATTAGTACAATCTCTAGAGGTCAGTTAGATTTTAATTACTCAACTTTTTAATTGAGAATAACATAACAAGAATTCAGTAACTAAGGATGACTTCTATTGGAGCCCGGATTAGACTCAAGTCACAATCGAACTGTGATGTTTTCTAGAGTTGAGACCTGTATGAGGTAATATTTGACTTGTTAGAAGCTCGAGTCTGACACTCACTATTTGAAGAGTCAAACACAAGTTAACATGGTAGCATGGAAAGTCTATATATGGTCAATAGTTCCGCCATATTGCCATAACTTGATCAAATTAAATTGTGACCCTCACTTGGCAAGTATTCTGAAGATAAGTACATCATTCATCCATCAACTCTAACTCGACCACAGAGGTCCAATCAAAGTCATTCTAAAATGGTATTTTGCGCCCTACTTTTCTGCTTTCGAGAGAGAAAGTAGTGTTGTGTGTAGTTATTTTGACATTGAGACCATATATCCATCATTAAGCAATGGTTCCCAACCTAGTGTATGAGTTTCCCACTTGAAAACATCAAGAGGTACCTGTCTACATGAGAAGCTGATTGAATAATTTCCAAGTTTGATAGTCTAGTCATCAGAGATTGGGTATACATTCAGGGGTACATATTGACAACAAATTTGACCTACTAGTAATCTTTAACTAAACTTTTAGAGTTTATCATTTTTAATGTGCAAGGGAAAGGAATCAGGAGATGCACAAATTCAGAATAAGAAGAAAGTATCATCATGACAATATTTAAAATGTATATTTACCTGTATGTGATACAAATGTTGTAGAACTTAGATGCAAATGGAGGTGAAGAAAATAATGCTGATGACAGCATGGATACTTCTGATGATTCTCCCTCGTCATCTACAGCATCAACTAGTTATCAGTCATCAGCAAGTAATAACCAGTCAGGATCAGGCAATGATCAGTCAACATCAGCTAATGATCAGCAGGCATCAGGTAGCGATCAACAGTCAACAGCTAATAGTAATAATAGATCAACGAATAACCCCAATCAAAACAGGTTAGATATTATTTTCACAATAGAATTAACTGTGATATATATATATATATATATATATGAATATATTAATTAGTAATTACACCAAATATTAATTTCTAAATTCCTTTAATGAAGGTAAAAACCAATATACATGTAATACAAATACTTACGTAGACTCTCTAGAAAGGGAGAGAGACATAGTTGCATAGAAGTATCAGGTGTGCAGTAGTTGTGAACATTTCTTCAGAACTGTATTTACATGGCTCCTACATAAGGGACTTATTTCCTATAGAATGTGATGATATTAAATGAGAAATATGTTAACAAATGCATCAAAAATTATATTTGCAATGATACGATCATTTCTGTTCAAATTTTCCAGTAATGTGTTTATATTTGTAGAACAAGAACCAGTGTTTTGGGTGAAATACTAGTAGAAGTATCCGGTCTAAATACCAGATTACAACCATTCTTAGACAGATATAGAGATTTATTACATAGTGAATCTAATTTACAGACACAGGTAGGTTATATCCATTTAATACAGACTGGGTTTGAAAAATTAAAACCATATATTTTAATCTGACAATAAACTAAGGCAATTTTATAGAAAAATCAAATACAAGTTAATGCAGAGTTATCCAAAATGATGCTTTAACTGTCTTTTTGCAATGTCTCATTGTTCCTAACTGCCAAATTAAGATTGTGGCAGACTTAACTAAAAGGTTTCAAAAACATAAAATACTTGGTAAAAAATTACATAGTTTCTAACCTAGGGTTAAACCCAATAAGGTGCAGAATACTACGACTTGAATCAAACATATATATATGGTATTATTAGTGTATTAAATGAGGTATAATGTTTGTTATCTCCAGGAGGCCCAATCGACACAGAGAATATGTAATTTAGTATCAGAAGCTCTGCATGGTTTAAGTCATGTATATCACAGTATCAGTGATTTCATGGTGGATGTGTCCTCGTCCCATCCACGCTATGTTAACAGTACCTTTGGTGTCAGTCAAATGGCTAATGTGGTATGTACTTTTGTATCATTTTGATACTGTATGAATTCATCTGTAGTAATTGCAGTGTTCAGCTTTAATTTTGTTGGTTTCAAATAGTGATAATGGTTTTGAAACAGCAACTTGTAACTTGTCAACAATTGGCACTTGATCAGGATTAATGAGATGGTAAAAATAGTTTAGATTTAAAAGAATAAAAGTGTTTTTTTGAGCAAAGCAGAACAAAATGAATTATTTGAGTTTTTTTGCTGCATCCATTAAGATTTCATAATTTGCTCCATATTAGTTTATAGCTGCCAGGAAGTTCTTTGGCAAGCTATTTTGATATTATTTTCTATATTCCAGCAAGGTGAACTGAATCTCTCCTATCAAATCCAGACATCTAACGCCAACAACCAGCCTGGAACCAGTACAGCTAGCAGCAGTACATCAACTAGTACTGGTTCCAGCAGTCAATCTACCACAGCACCACCTACATCTCTATCTTCTAGTACTACTACATCCTTCTCTACCCACACTACAGTACGTAATCTCTTCTTAACTCTTTTTAAACTGAGTGAAGTACATGATAAATTCAATAAATAACCTGCTATGTTTCACCAGTGATACTTTATTTTCAATCGGATGTTTCATTTTGTGTTTATTTGTGGGTGACTCCACTTACCATCCAGGATGTGACAAAATTGTGAAGCTTCTCTTGGCTTCCTTATACATCATTGTTTTATAAACGATGTACTTTATCTGTTGGCAACTTAACAGTTATATCTGATACAAAGTAGAATCTGATATTCAGTTTCATCTACCTTAGATCCTTTGCAATAGAAATGGGTAATAATTTTGGTTAAATATTTGGGTTTGGAGACCAGCTTGATATTATGAAAAGGTAGTAGAGGTCTATACATTATTACAATATTTCTTTTTGCATTATATTTTAAACAGCCTTCAGCTGGACCACAGACAACTACTAACGAAGCGGGTAGTGGAAGTGGACTGCCCCCTGGTGTCAATATAACAGGTGGACTTCCTCCTGGTGTCAGTATAACAGGTGGACTGCCCCCTGGTGTCAATATAACAGGAAGTGGACTTCCCCCTGGTGTCAATATAACAGGAAGTGGACTGCCCCCTGGTGTCAATATAACTGGAAGTGGACTCCCACCTGGTGTCAGTTTAGCAGGAAGTAGCAACCCCCATCTGTTCGTTGAAGTTGGACCACAGAGTATAACGTTAAACAGCATCTCAGCACACGTCATTACAACATCTCAGAATAATGATGTACCTTCATCATCAACAGGTAATCAAACTCTTTACCAATCAAACTCTTTACCAATCATATAGAGGGTAGAGGGTAGACTGGGAATATCAGACAGTTTGCCCCAGAGACCACTCTGCTCATCTGTATAAAGATTGAATGCCCATGTAATAATTTACACGCCCCGTAAGATTATAGTAAATCCAAGATGAAGATTTATGCACCGTAAATTTTAGAATTTATATTATTATCAAGGCCTTTTATAATGTTGGACTAGCTTGTATATCCTATACGATAATACATGTATACACATTAATGCAAGATCTCATCAAACTAGTCTATCCATTACAGCTGAAACAGCATCTGGTACAGATACAAGTCAATCATCAACCCAGACTCCACCCACAACATCTAGCTCCACCAATGACGCACCCACCAATGGAAGCGATCAGATGATGGGTAATATCATACAGAATACAGTAGATATGATTATGCGTAAGTAACTGTTTCAGATGGATTGTACAAATTTGACTGGAAACAAAAAATTGACAGGAAGTAATAAAGAGAAGCTAAAATTTAGGGGCTGATATATGGGCAGGGTTTTGTAACCACTGGCAGTGCCATCTATTTTTCTTACCTTGAGGACATGGCATCTAACTGTCTGGCAGACAACCCAACTTGCTATCAACTGAGATATTCTCCTGACACATTGTGGGAAGAAAAGGTTTAGGAGTCGAAATTCAGAAAGCGTGTTGGTTTTCTTTAGTCCAATGGAACTATGGTCAACTTTTCATAGTTTGTTATTTCTTTCTTTTAGAAAATGTAGGTGTAGGAGATTTAGGGCAAGCTGTTGCAGTTGAAATTGAGCATGTAGAGGGTGACGACAATACAACGGATTCTGGCAACACTGCCACTAATAATACAACAACATCTGGCAACACTGCTGGCAATAATACTACTTCGTCTTCTACCGCCTCTTCAACTAGCCAGAGTAATACCGCCAATATCTTTCCTGGTCTGCCTCATGGCTTCAGATTTCCTGGATTACCTGCTGGGGGAGGCAATGTTGGTATACAAGTTTTGCCTGGAGGAAATTTCGATCTTGGTGCTCTGATGGGTGGAGCTTTAGGCGGTGCTTTTGGAGGAGTCAGACCAAATGTGCCGAGCGGACAAAGTCGGTTTGGTTTTCAACCTGGAACTAGTACTGATAATCAACCGAATCAGCCTAATAATGCAGGGAATGCCCCACCCAGGATGCCAGTACACATGGGATTACCAGCTGGTATAATGAGACGTCCTGCTGATCCCTTCCTCCCCTGTCAGTCTCGGTTTAATATCAACAATGAACAGAGAGAGGCTGTCGGTCAAGCCATTGCTACTTCTATAGCTGATTTGTTGACTCAGAGATTGACTCAAGGTTTAAACACTACTGAAAATAGAGGTAAGACATTCTGAATTATACCCGAGTCATAAAAAAGCTAATGGGGACAAAATTTGAAATAAAATTCTTTACTCTGTGATATTAATGGAAAAACCAATGTTGAGTTCAAAATATTATGTAAAAACATGGCCCATTTTATAAAAATACTAAGAGTTTTGCATCATTTTAGAATAAAAATCCTGCTAGAAATAACAGGACACAATTATATGGATAACAATTATTTTAATAAATAGCTTGCGATGTTTCGACGATGATACTTTCGTCTTTATCAAGCAATGATATTATTATCATTTTATTATTTAAGTTTTTTTATGAAAGTTATCCATACAATTGTGTCCAGTTATTCATACCCCAGTAACTAAATGCCACTCGAAGAAGTTACCTGCTAGAAATATTTTCAATAAGTTTCATTGTTTTATAGGAGCACCAACTGGCACTCGATCCTTCACAGCTACAGGAAGACAACCAGGAGCTAATCAAACTCCAGGACAGTCAGCTCCAAATCAACGTCCATTCTCTGTTAGAGGTCAGTACTCACTTATTATTAATAAAACACTACACCAGTATGACGAGAATAGGACGATATTGGATGAAAATATTGGAAAAATTGAATATTAACCCAACCAGTCTATTTTTCTTTGTGGTAAGTTAAGGTGAACTCAAACTATTTTGGCAGTATAGTATAATTGTTTTAAAATTTATCATGTTTAAAAGTTCTCCAGATGTGTATAAGTATCTGAATTTTGAAGTATTGTACAATATAGATAGGATTATTGGACTTTATTAACATAATCATAAAGCTTGCGATGGTAAATCATATTAAAATGTCTGAATGGGATAGGATATGGTTCATGATTCTAATAATCAAATTTAAAAGTACCTAGTATGACTGTTGTTTGTATTTTCAGTTCAAGGTGTGCCAATGAATCTAGGTGGAGCAGCTGTAAGTTGAGATTTATACTGTTTCTTCACCCACAAATTTTATACCTCAATCTGGATATATGAGTCTTTAAATTTTTATTTTGAGGGAAATACAGCTTTTGAAACAGGGATTGGAAAAACGATCAGTAGTAAAGTAGGAACTCAAGCTGACATATATGTTCTATATGAAGCAATAGAAATGATATTGGCTATGTGATATTTCTGATAAGGAAATTTGAAATCCAGTTGCAAAGAAGCATTAGGTGATCACAGCATCAATGCTCCTTTTTGTGTTCATATTTCATATCTTATACACTTGTTAATTACCAATATGATGTTGTCAATTATTCCAGGCACCGTCAGGAGTTAATGCAACCTCTAACATTGGAACGGGTGCCAATCAACCAGCTGGTACTGACAATATGTTTGCTGAACTCTACCGTGGTATAACTCAACAGATTACAGCAGCTGCCAATGGCAATGATTCCACAGATACAATTTCTAGTTTTGTAGATAACTTAGCTTCTAATCAAAATGTAGTTGGTGGGGAAGGTAAGTGCTGTTCTAATACATCTGTAAGAAATTCAAAACAAATGTGTTATTCTAGTAATCTAAAAAAACTTAACCTTTCAACACTAACGGCCAATCTACTCAACTGCTTTGTAATTATGTTATACAATACCCACGCCATACCAGCTTTAACATAATGTTAACCTCATACACTTTAATTCATATAACTGGGGAGTTCAGGATACTCAGTGTTCAAAGGGTTAAAACTGCTATTTCCACCGTTTTTCTGTGCGAAAATCTGTGAATTCCAGAAAAAATGAACTGAATATAATACCAATGGTCCGTTCAGCTTATTTTATAAGAAACTGGTCTCCAAGAAGATCTTTGATATTACAGTTTATATTTGGTTTTAGTATTTATAATCTAATGTTATATTAATTACAGGTTTTGTGAATGATATTTTCCGAGTTGTATCAGAACGATTAACATTCACTGATTTATTTGGTATATTTATGGGAAGGAGTGATAGGCTCGGCCAGCTACAGGGACCATTAAAGGAGTTTCTACAGACAAGAGTATTAAAGGGAAAAGACTACACTGATGACAATCTAAGGAATGGTATTGAAGAAATTATTACTGAAATGGAATCTGAACTTCAACCTGCTATTGTAAGTACAAAATGATATTTGATGGAGTCAGTTCGGCTATTTCTTGCTTTACAATGTAGCATGAAAGCCTGATTGGGTAAGGGGTTCAGAAACCTGAAGATCCAGATTTGAGCCCACATGATTTGATAATGTCACTAAAAGTTTTTACCCTACCATTGACTTTACATTCAAGTCCTTCTGCTTCAAAGTGTATGTTTATTGTTTCCCTAACTGTTGAAAACTGAACAATACTAGGTAAAATGTCAGTTCTAATGGAATGGTACTGCTTTGTTAAAAGTTCAGAATATGCTGATAGAATTTTTTTGCTAGTAAAATATCAATCTGGAAACCTCCTATGAATCTATTTGTAAATGTAACTACATGTATCTGTATTTATTTAGGATTGTGTACAAGTTAAAGAAGGAATCAATTTAATGGCAACTTTTAAGAACTTTTTCCGACAACAGTTCCGTGCCACAATTAGATTAATTCTTAATTCTCAAGGTAAGTTGTAGATATTTTAATATGAAGGTCTTATGACTAGAGACAGGTGCTTGATAAAACATATTTCAAGTTTGACCCTACCTGTTCTGCTGATGGGATATTAACATGGTTAGGACCAGATCTATAATGCCACTTTTTATGAGAGTTGCTCTGATCCATTTTTGGAACCGTAGCTCTTGAGAATGTTCACCATGATAAAAGCCAAACTTTGGTTTGCTATACAAAACTGAATCATTAATGAGTCCATCAAGACATTACCAGATATTCTACAATGCCCCTGTGCCCCATACGTTAACAAAATACAGTTTAACGTACTGTGTCTTATGAAGATGGATGTTGTCTTGTAAAGTTGGTAAATGATCAGATCTATTAGATGTTAAGTGTAGTCTAATAGTTTAAGATTTACCATACAGTAATAGAGGATGTTAATTCCTAGTATATCACTCTATAGAGTTATACTATCAAGAACATCATTACAGATCTTTATAGTGGTTACTAGTAGCAGTTGATAGTTAGTTTATATTCACTGTTTGTCGTTAACCATAGACAATAAATCTGATACTTCATTTGTATAATTATACTTGTTAATCTTATTGATTCTCAAGTTTAAATGATATCAAACAATTTTGCAATAACCACCTTCATTTTATTACGGAAATTTGTAAATGCAGCGATTTGATTGAATTCTCTACTACTGAATACAGCCCAATTGACTACAGGTTTATTCGATGGTTATGATTGGTTATTTTGGTAGTTTACAATCAAATAAAATCTACAAACATCCATGATACAGTCATGATACAGGTACTTGACAGTTCGTAATAGCTTGACATTGTGAAGATGGTATATGAGTTGTTATTGTTTAGTGATTGTTATATTATAGATGGTGACGTTAATTTTGGACGTAATCTATATGAACGTGTGAGAAGATTATTGGGAGAATTTGTTGTTCTAACTCCAATGTGTCTTGTAGAGGGAAACCCTGCCTTTGAGAGAATGCTCCAAAATAGATTGGTAAGAATAAACAATGAGAAAATTGCAAATATCCCTATATTACACCTAGGGTACAGAGTGGCAATGTATAAATCATTTATTTGTGGGAGCTACAATCAAAAATTCAAAAAATTCTGGCCGTCAACTCCTGGTCAAATTGTTACTCAAAATCCTTAAAACTTTTTAATTTAAAAGAAGTTTGCTGTTTGTTAAGTAAAAGATACTTCCTAAAGAAAACTGGTATTAGAGGTGAGGCCAAACTGACAGAAAGAACTTTAAGCATTCTGTTTCTGCTGTTATGAGCATGTGATGTAATATGAATATTAAGTATGTCATGAATAGTTAGCAGCCTGCACGTGCATGCTTGGCGTGCGGGATTGTTGTAGCGTCACTTCATGTGTGGCGACCATAATGTGTTCTCTATGATATATCAAATTCACAAACTGTTCCTCTATTTGATGGTATAAAATATTTCAGCGATCTATGACATCATCAATGAATTCTGGTGTACAGGAATGGATGACAACAATGACAGTTCAACAGATACAGAATTTCCGTCAGTCGGTTGTAGTGAGAGAGTCCGAGGTTCAATTCTATATTGTTAAATCACCCCAGTCAGCTTCACCAGCTAGTAGTGATGAAGTACCTATGGAAGTCAGTTCCCCACCTGCTGCCACTTCAGTTCCTAAATCTACTGCAGCCAAACCAACTGAACTGGTAGGTCAGTTTTTAAATTATGAAAACTGCCATTGAACAAGTTTGATTGGGATTTTGTCATATGATGAAGCCTTATATTAAGAACTGACAGAGCATATCAATTTTTATATAAAATACCAGAAGAGTAGTTATTGCCACTGCTTTTCGCCACAGGATTACTGGAAGAGACAATCTTTCTTGAGCACAGTAGATAAGTTCAATTTCGAAATAACCTTATTACATTTCATTATTAATTGAATCATTCCAGAGTAAGAAGAGCAAAACTGAGAGTCAGAATAAATCTAGTGGTAGTAGTGGTGGAGCAGGAGTGGTTAATGGTACAGTAGGAGTTAGCTCCCCTACCCCTGGTCAGACAGCTAAATCTGGTGACACTGTACCTAATGGTGAAGATTGGAGAGCTGTAGTGCCAGAGGTTGGTTTTTATTTGCTCATGACTTATCTTCTGTTTTTCCTACAGTCAGCATTGTGAAACTAGTGAAAAGTATTACTGTTGCTTTGAATTAATTGTGTAAGAAATATTTGGTGAAAGATGTTTTTTTCTTATGCCAAGTATAATATTATAAATGGAATATATTATGATTATTGCTACAAATTAATGTGGTGTGTATTTGAATGGTTATTTATTTATATTTTTACTCCACTCCTTTGACAATTAAATAATTCTCTGTATTTAGGAATGGGTCCCTATTATAAGTCAAGATATTCAGAGACAGAAACAAAATCGCCACCAACCACCATTGAGTGATGCTTATTTACAAGGTTTACCAGCAAAACGTAGACGGGTAGGTTGTTTTGTTTGTAGAAATTAGTTTACTCATATAGATATAGATCGGAGTATGCTTGTTTATCCCAATGACATTGATGCAGGTCAAAGGGGTTCACTTAGAAAAACTGTGAAGTCTTTCAGATGGTATATTGACACAATGAAACGAACTGTAATGATCCTTCAACATTTATGAATAGAACAAATACAGGATGTGGCTACTACCCTAGCCTTCATAACAGAATAATAATAGAAAAATGGTACTAGGAAACATTATTAGTTGGGTGAAACGGCTATATTACACTTTTTTGTTGCATGGAAACTTCAACTTGAACTGCTGTGTGAAATGCTACACAAAATATAAGCTTGTAGCAAAATATCAATATCAAGTTTTTCATATGTAAGTATTTTCAGTTTGCACTTAATGGATCATTGAAATGTTGTTTTTCCTCTGGCTCCAGATTAAATGATTTCTATATTCTATATTCCAGGTCATGACTGCTGACAGACCATCTAACAGTTTAACCAACATGGCTGAATTTATTCCTGAATCTATCAGACGTGCTGCTAACAATCTGGCTATAGAACCAATTAGCAGTCTGGATAATTTAACAGAGGAGGCGTCCAGTGATACAGACTTACAATTAGCGTTAAATACCGAGTTAAATACAGTGTTAGTGAATAGATTAGAACGTGATTCAGACTATATACCAGATCGTTATCCCAACTCACAGCAATTATTTCAACCAAAGAAACGTGAGAAATAAGGCTGTTTCTCTGTATATAATCTTATTATTGTTTTTATGTGATAGAACTGTTTGTTTGTGACAAGTGCTGAACATTGAGGAGGGATGAAACAGGTGTTTTCTGACCTTTTTATATTCTTACATTTTTTTCTAATACATGTACTTCTATATATCATACTGTGTGCTGAATAGCTTTCTAAATCACAATTTCTTGGTATTTGAAAATCATAGATTTTTGTGCTTTGAACCGTGTATTAGGCTTATACTATAAGCTTAGTAAACTGCAGATCATTAGGATGTAAAACTCCATTGTATTTCAACATAATATGAGCATGTCTCTCTATATTTCTGTTTTTATACGCTCATATGGAAACATGGACATAAATTCCAGTTTCCTCTGATCATTCTCTTTTCTTGTAGACACGGAATTCTGTTATCCGATCTTGTTAGAACTTGTTATTCGTGTTTATATTGATAGGATCTCTGCCAGGTTTAAATTAGGCTAATATTGGATGAAGGGCTTTTGAGTTACTGCCCTTGACTAAATAACAACACATCAAATTTGGCTTAGAGACAACATAGAAATTTTACTTTTCTGTATTGATGAGATCTTAGTCATGGTTGAATTTGGCAATAATTTGAGGAATCATTGTTGAGTTATTGCCCTTGATTTAATATTAAGTTTTCACAAAACTCCTGTATTCTATTTTAATGTTGCATGCTCTTTATTGAATGGAGGACTTCATTCTTGTCCAAGATTCAAGAATATTTCAAAAGAGTTTTTAGATCTATGCTATGTTGTTATTCTTAAAGGGACAGGTGCGCCATTCTGGGTGAATAATTTGAGTCTTGAATATATGTAAATAGTCGTCAGAAGTACTAGTAATGTATGAAATTGCATAATGTCTTTTAATCTTACTCACTATTTCTATATATGTCTTTTCTATATATCACAAAGTATCTTAAATTAACAAGTAAGTCGTCAGTGTAACATTCAAACAGGGATTATTCAGGATACGCATGTATTTGAAGGCTCAAATTTCAACGGTGAGCTGTAAATACTATTACTGAATGGCTTAGCCAAAAAAATTCCCGTTGCTGATACTAGATTGTTATTGGTAAAAAAAAATGGGGCATCGGTCTCTTTAATGCAGTGTCCCTTCTTTCAAATATAAGAATGAAGAGTAAGCAATGACAATGTATAAAAACATGTTTTAATATAGTATGTTATAGGGATTATAATATGATATTTATTTACTCTTTCTAACTGAAAAATGACTGTTTTAGGGATTCTTTATTTGAAATAAAAATACATTTTCTAAGCATGAGTTCATGAAACTTTCTGACCCTGATTAAAAGTGGCTCATTTTAGTAACAGTATGTCACATTTGCATGTAACCCTGAGCTGGAGGGAAGATGAAAAATAAAGGGATGGGGGATTTCGTGACATAGAAATAGAAGAGCAATTAGGTAATAACAGAATCCAAACTTACTAAAAGGATTTTTTGGTGTTCCAATGAGCCAAGAAATGAAGTTTAAAGGTAAACTGTTTTTTTCTGAGCAGGCGTCATAGTATCCAGAATACAGGTTTTGACATGGTCTTATAAACCGAAGTATGACAAATGGAGGTGTGGTTTGGACATAATCTATCAAATTGCCGATTTTTGCACATAGTCGGCATCTTACCATAATATGTGGTGGGGCATGTTTTCAGTTCCCTACATTATTTTTACTTTGTTTTATTGCATTTCTTGGTTCAACGGAACATGCAAAACTCCCTTGCACATTTTCATCTTGAAATCTTCTTTAGTCTGAACCAATATGAATGGCGACTGCTGGTAGCATAAACAATATAACGCACAATAACCCCAAGCAGAGCCATACAGTCTGGATCCCAAGGTAACGAATAGTATCAATTTCCCCTATACGGTCAAGGGACGTAACTCTTTACAACCTTCAAACTCTACTTCCTGTTGCAGTTGAAAAATCAAAACAAATCAGCCATGGAAAATTATGCTTAATTTCTCACTTTTTGATATTAAATCAGGTAGAATATCACTTAAGACCTGTGTTTCACTTCTTTGCTTGGTATATTTGCCACCAAACATTCCTAAGCTCATTTTTTTATAATTACAGAGAACATGCAAGGTCGTATTGGATTATTTTGAAGGCGATTGGGGCCTGTTTTGCTTATGCAATCAGCCGTTCCATTTATTATGAGTGAATTTCGTTTTCGTTTCATAATTTGACAGCTGTATATTTGCAAATCAGCTTTGAAATAGATAAGCCTACTAGCGATATGTAGTTGCAAAAATTCAAGATAGTAGGGCCTACAAGGTTACAAACATGATTATGATTATGAAATTGATAGAGGCAATGAAGGCCTAACCTAAAGGGAAACAATGATTATGTATTGCACTTATCAAGGCCTATTTGAGTAGAGAAATAAAATCTAACAGCAGAAGCTAACTGTATTTGTATTCATTTTCTAGCTATTGTCTACATGTGTTTAATCTTTATATATATATACCGTATCCCTATAGTAAGCCTATAGCCATTAATCCTATAGCCCTATACATAGGCCTAATTGTGACCCTTTGTGGAAATTCAATCACAATTAACAGTACTGTCATAATTTTTCATTTCAGAAAATCCTAAAAGAAAATGGCTAACCTCCCATCTCTATCGTCCAAAGTTCATAAATCTATTCAAGAAGATGAATTACATACCTTGAAAAGTTTGATGAAAACTGTGGATAAAGAGACAAGGAAGCAGGTAGTCAGTTACTGTGATGTGAGTAACCCTCCCTTGTTCGCAGCATGTTGGATAGGCTTGGTTCAGTTCGTGGAGTATCTTATAGATGAATGTGGTGCTGATGTGGAACAGAAGGGAATCTATGAAGTAGAAGAAGACCAATCCAAACATCATGTAACTCCATTATGGTGTGCAGCTGTCTCAAATCGTCTGGATGTGGTGAAGGCACTGACTCAACGTAATGCAGACGTTAATAGTTCAAGCGATACACAGTCAACTCCAGTCCGTTCAGCCTGTTATATGACAAACATTGATTGTATTAGATATCTGGTGGAACATGGGGCTAATATACATGTCCCTAACATGAATGGAGGCACCTGTTTGATTAATGCTGTGCAGAGTGTCGAACTTTGTAAATATCTAATAGAAAAAGGAGCGTGTGTGAATGACAAGGATAGTTCTGGTAATATAGCTTTACATTACGCGATACGTGAAGGTCGAGTAGAGACAGTCAAACTTCTAGTGGAACATAAATCTGATTTAGAACATGCTAATGATTTCGGAGATGATGCCTTGCAAACAGCTTCATTAAGAGGTCATGCCTCTATCATGAACTATCTATTACGTTTTACTGGAGGACTAGAGAAGAAAATTCATTCGTTTGAACTATTGGGTACAAGTTTAATTGATGACAAACATGATATTACTGGTGGTATCAGAATGTGGAAGAAAGCAATGATGTTACGTTACGCAGATCATCAGAACTTAATTCTAAAACAGATTAACAAGACTCCGAACCCAGCTTATGGTAATATCCTGGAACCAGAAACAATGGTGGAATTAGAGTCAGCCAGTGAGGACCCACATTCTATCTATATGTTATCGTTATTAATTAGAGAAAGAATTCTAGGCTCGACTCATAAAGACACCACGTTTGGTTTGATGTACCGTGGAGCAGTGTATGCTGATACTCAAAATTACCAAAAATGTGTGGACTTGTGGAAATACGCTCTACAATTACGTGGAGAGAAGGATATCCATAGTCATGAAGCCTTGTTGACACTTCAAGCCTTAGGTAAACTTTTTTGGGAAATGGATTCTGAAATGACAGTGGATCCATTAGGTAGTCCACTACACTACAACGATGCCCTACAAGTCTTTGAAATATTAGTTCGTTACATCCGGGCATTTGAAAAGTCTAGAGACAATTCGACTAAGAAGCATTTATATCTGAATCAAGAACAGGAGCCGTTAATTCTGTTGAAACTTTCACTACAGATGATTAATTTGTTACATAAACAGAAATCAACCAGGGAGGAAAGACAGCCATTTCTGAACCTTGTTAAAGAACTGATTGAAATAGATTTACATGACACGAACGGCAAGACTTTGTTACATCTTTCACTGAATAAGACATCATCTTTAATTTGTAATGAACAATATTCCAAACTTCCGTCATTAGAGACTGTAAAAATTCTGATTGGATGTGGCAGTGACATTGAAGCTATGGATAATAATAATAATACAGTTCTAATGGATGCTATGAAACATTGTGATTTGACAAGTGATTTAAATGGAAAGGATATCATACACTATCTCTTATACTGTGGAGCTCATCTAGACACTTGTAATAACGGCCAGTCCACTCCTTTACTGGTAGCTCAATCCTTAAATTTTCCTCTCTACTCTCTAAACTATATCAATTTAAAGTGTTTGGCATCTCGAGTGATAATGAAGAATAAGATACAGTATACAGACCAGGTACCTAGATCACTGTTCTACTATATTGAACGACATGGCTGTATTTACAATGGCCACACTTAGATTTCTAGACCTAATTAGAAAGATTCACAAAAAGCTTTAAATTTAATATAAACCGGTAGTATCATTCTAAATATGTTAAAAAAAAGTGTTTGAGGACAAGTCTAAATATAACACTGAATCTATAATCTGCCGTACGCATTATAAATCATTATTAGTCAGGTATATTATTAAATGGATTTAAGCTTATATGTGTAAGCATTTAAACATTATGTAAGCATTTACACATTATTACCGACACTTGTTATAGTTGATCACATTATTTCTGTATTTATGCAGAAGCTTACTCATGAATAGTTTACTTGAATTATAGGTCAAGTAGTTGGTAATTGAAGCAATGAAACCAGGCCCCAGAGCAACAAAGCTTTTTTCATACTTATCTTAGATATAACTCAAATATAAAGCAGCTTTTACAGGTGCATAACTCATTGTATCAATCAATCAATCAGTATTAATCTGTTCATTGGAGCACAATGATTCTGAAATTATCACATTGATCTTCAAATTTTACCTTTCCTTGATGCGAGGGGCATTATGAATTAGAGTAAAAACTTAGCTGAGCATGAGAACTGTTGTGTGGCCCCTTTTGAGTGTTCGTTCGTATAGTCAAGCAAGGACATCTATGCACATCCAAATAAATCCTCACAATGTCAGGCCAATAGGAACGTACTTGACTGTAATAGCCACTATTGTTGTATCACGATTTCGATTTCTTTGGATTGTACTCCAGCGAATAGAGCCAATCCAAGCCCTTGATAAAAAGGCTGTTAAAATATGGCTTTGTTTTCAGATTCTATACGTTAAAGCCCCTGATAGGCTGTATTTGCTAGCATACAATCCGATCAAATCGCTTCATTTGCAAACTTCCATGATACAAGAAAGATGACTATTGCAGTCAAGGTATATTTAGGATGTTCTTAATAACTTGACATTGTGAAGATGATCCAAGAAGGATTCAAAACATTAACACAAGCCCTCTACAGATGCGCCATATTGGGGGGTCGATTTTAGTCTTGAAATTATGTAAATAGCCTTCAGTAAGAAAATCGCATAAGTCCTTTTTAATCACTATTTCTATTTATGTCTTTTCTATATATCACAGATTATCTTAAATTGACAATTGGTCATTTTTACATTCAATCACAGATAATTTTGAACACACATGGATTTGAAGGCTAAAATATCAACAGTGAGCTGTGAACACTAAATTACTGATTTTCAAGGCAAAAATATGATTAATCAAAAAAATGGAACACCTGTCCCTTTAAGATATTGTAATGTCAGCTTAGTCTGTTTAGTTTCTATTACTTATCATACTTACTACTTATCATACTTACTACTTATCATACTTACTACAATTAAAGTTAATTTATCATACTTACTACAATTAAAGTTTACTTATCATACTTACTACAATTAAAGTTAATTTATCATACTTACTACAATTAAAGTTAATTTATCATACTTACTCTTAATTTATCATACTTACTACAATTAAAGTTAATTTATCATACTTACTACTTATCATACTTACTACAATTAAAGTTAACTTATCATACTTACTACAATTAAAGTTAACTTATCATACTTACTACAATTAAAGTTAACTATCTCTGTTAATGTTTTGAAAAATATCTTGACTGAATATAATTAAAATATCTCTTAATGAAATTGGCGCTCTGTAGAACCTGGGCTAGCTACCAGAAATGGACTGTTGGTGTTAGTTTTGCAAAGATGATGAGCAGCGAGCATGTATCATTGCTGGACTATTTTTTTCTAAGCTTTTTTCCCAGATCTGATGTAAGGTAGATGTATATGGTTAGGAAATTAAACTGTAGTTAAACATTTGTCTATTGTGAGCTATAATTATTACAAAAATGATAATTCTTTGTTAAGTTTATGTTTATTGAAATATAATAAATATATAATTTTGTCATTATGCTGGCTTATTGATTATTTACTTAATGTAGATGTCACTGTGCAGGCACCACATATCAACATTGCTCCCCCCTTTTTTTTTCTACCCTCACTTTATTTCAAATTTAAAATAAAAAGATAGTTATAGTTTTAGTACCAGAATATATATCAGTGAGCTCCAAATCAATTTTATTTATGGTCCTTCCACAGGTGACATAATTTGAATCTCGACCTCACAAATACCATCTGTCTTCACTAAAGCACCTGGGTTTGAGGGAGTCTCTATCTGACTTGATTAGCTGTTTCTGTAGGTTAAGACAACCTGACCTTTGAACTGCTACTAGCTCTGGTGTGCAATAGCCCTGAGTATTCAAAACTGCTAGAGGGTGACAGATGATTCGAATAAACCCACCTTTACTTCCATGCATCAAGATTTTGAGGATCTTAGACGAGGGTCATAAACCTTGATGTGCAGCATTACCTAAAACACATATTAAGGTCAAATTGTTATATTGGACAAAGAAACTATGATTCTATTTAAAGTTATTATTATGAAAACATAGACAAGTGTGACCCTTGTGTCAGTGTTGTCTGTACCAATAGGGGTTAACATATTTAAAGCCCTTTTACACCTTAAATAAAGTTCTATCAACCATGGTTTAATTTGCCGAGTAAA